AAACAGTTATTCTTATTAGAGATCAACCAATATGGGTTTTTTTCATGGCCGATGCCGATACCAATTGTAGGGCAGATTTAAAATTTTCCCCAAATTGTCTAATTTATACTTACCTCAGACTTACCCAATATCTGCCCATGTGGAAGACCATGCACTATTGCAAATGTCGCCTGATGTATTGGCCAAATTATATATCTGTTTATCACTAATACTTTTGCTATCTATTTGAATTTAATATTGTATTCTTTTGCTCCTTGAAGTTTACATTTTAAAACCTTAATAAAACATACAACATAAAATTGAGTCTATATTGATGCTTAAATTCTAGAAATGATAAATTGTTACGATTTATGTTGTAACGTACAATGAAGACGAACTGCAAAACTGATTAATTCTGTGCACATCCGTAGTTGGCATAACATATTTAAAGAATATGCTAGCAGTCAAGATGGCCAAGGGCTGTTTCCCCATTATGAAAATCATTATCCATCTATACAAAACCATCTGCTTATTTCCTGTACACAATTGATAGCCGTGGCAGTGTTTACTATTGACCCAATGATAAAGCGATGTTGATAAGAAAGCAAAATGAATTCACAACTCCACAGGGACAGTTGACCCTGAACGTGAATCTGGCTTCTCTATAGGCCAAGCACTAAATACAATTGGGATTCTGGGATTTATGCCTGGACTGAACACCTCAGGGCTGACTACGGCCTATAAACAAACACACTAGAGGCAAAGTCATTTTTCACATGCATAATAGGAAGGCTGTCACGACTGCTTTGAGAGAAAATTATGGGTCCATTATTTTTTTTCTCCACTATGCCAAAGGAAGGGCAAATCAACAAAATGGAGAGAAAAGACATTAAAATAACTATTGTGTGCGATAACAGTACAGCAATTCTAATTCCTACATATCTGCAAAAACTGATATGATTATTTTAGCCAATCAAGTAAAAACACACAATAGTTCATGAAAAAAATAAATCTAACTCCTTTTTTAACCTTCTTTCTCAGACAAATTTACAGTGGACAATACTTTAAACTTTATTGAGATGTTAAGTTTTATAACCCTAGTTCAACGCTTCTTCTTAAATTGCCACCGTAGGCTGAAAAATGGCCTATTGTAAAACGCTTTAAGACAAGATTTGGCTTGGCTGAATTATTTCCACATAGCCAGAGCAAACACAAGGCTATTACCAATTACAGTGCAGTATTTATTAATATTTCTGCAATTATGCCGTTTATCTGAACTATAACTTCAACCTAGAAGTATTTTCTAGCTTTTGCTTCTTAATGAACTTCAAAGCCATTCATTCATACACTCCCCTTTTTCTTTCCTGTCACCCATGCAGCAGCAGAACTCTCAGCCTCCTCAGTGCCTCCAGTCCTCCTCTGGCAAGGTTACACTATATCTCTCAGTATTTTCTTAAACAGAGCGATGTCAGTCTGGTCACTTCTCCCTCCATCACACCTCAAGACTGGCTCAAACATGCCCGTCCAATCAGATGAGTTTATTTTAGTGACGCATGTGAAGTGAAGGAGCTCATTGGTCATCCATTATTTTGAACAAATTAAATTTCTCTCGCCTCAGATAAAGAGATTAGTGCTTCGCTCTTTGATTCTGCAGAAATCCACAATGATTTTCAGTCCACTGTAATACTTTCTTTGTTTTCTCATAAGCAGCCATATTTGATTTGAGACGGATAGACCATGCTTCAATCATGCCCATCTAAACTCTAATATATTCACCGCAACCCAGACTTACATCTTTGTAAAGTGTATTCTGGATCCCAGGCAAACATTGGGCCTCATTCATGAATCTTTTATTAAAAAATGTTCATAACTTCCACTTAAAGAAACTCTGCACTAGATTCTTAAGTGTTCTTAAACAGCCAAATTCCTACCAGTCAAAACAGACTATGATAATTTTACAGCTTCAGCAGCGATTTCAAATGTCCAAACTCACATGAACCCAAACACAGGGAGAGAATATTTAAGGTACCAACTTATTGAACTAAGCGGGCACTTTTATCGTATTTATCGTGCTTTTCGCAAGTCGTGGGCCCGTGATAAATAGCGAGGAAGGGGGACTGGGTTGAGGGTGCATAAGAGTGTGTTCTGGTCATGGAGGGTGATGATGGTGCAGAGGTGTTGAGTCCATGGGCAGTGACCAAGCGCAGGACTGTAACAGTGGCCCATTTGGAGAGCACTGGGGCTGGGACAGACTGAGACTTAACTGCAGCAAGTATCAAGTCTGTTCGACCCAATAGACCTCATGCGCTATAAAACGCCTCGCAAATGAACTTGCAGTTTAATTTTTTTTGTTGCAGAGTAATATCTTAAAGCGGTAGAATTTTTGTTCTTATGTTGTGCTCCTGACTGTTTGTAGGATTTGTTTTTCCAGAAGAACATTTTCAGTTAAAAAGTTTAGTGAATGCCAAAAATGTTCGTAACAAGGTCTTAAGCACAAATTTGTTTGTAGGAACGCTTCCTGAATGAGACCTAATGTCCCAACCCCAGATTTGATATTTTCCCGACAACTCATCAGTCTCACTCCATCACTGACATCTTTACTTGCTGCTGTCTTGGCATCAAAGTCCAGCCATTAATTTTACCTTGGCTGAATTGATAAAACGCTTATCTTCAATGTTTTCTCCAAGCAAATCCTCCCATCTCTCCTCCACTCCTGGGCTCCTGTCTCCTGTTCATATTCATTACCACTCATTGACATGCTAGCCCCTTATCTACATTCTTTTGAACTGTTGCTAGCTTTCTCTCCGTCCTTTTCCCCACAGCACATCAGGTTTATCAAACAGAATGTACAGATAGCAGCATTAATAATTCATAATCCTATGTTGCAATAGGTTTCCACTTAGATTGCGTATACGTTACATGATCGCCATGGGCTCCATCAGCCGTACAGTAAGAAAAAGATGAATCAAATATTAAAAGAACAAAATGCCTTAGAGGGCAACAGGATTCATTTCACTATGCTTCTGCTGTAATATTAAACACACAGAATTAATCCACAAAAAACCTCTACATGTACAGTATGTCTGCTCAGTATTGATACTTTGCAGTGACATCAATGGGGGGGGTTCTACATGTATGCTTATGGTGAAATGTTCAGCATTTACCATGGTGATACTTTACACACATGAGCAAATGCTGTTAAATAGTCTGAAAACATTAGAAAAACACAAAATTGACACATATGACACCTTTTCAGGAGCCTGTGAACGATACAAGCATCCAAGGTCCTTTTTAGGTGTTTGATGTTTAACAAAAAACATGCGAGTGACTGAAATTTTACATTATGAGAGCATAAAATGATCTCCCCTGTTATAGTTTCAAGTAGGTCAGTTCTTTCTGATCAGATTGTGTTAAAAAGAAAGCTCTTATTAAAGTCTAACTTGAGTTGCAGAGCTTCAGACAGAGCTGTGCCTCCAGTTAGCTTCACACCCCAGAGAATGTGGATGACATGAACTTCAAAATATCAATATCAAAATTGAATCATAATTTTGAGTATCTCAAACACTGCATTTATTGGAAGTAATAGATTGTCACCTGCAGGTAAATGAACAGCTTTTTTTCTCAAATGAAGACAAGACCTTTTAGTTTTTACACCCTTACAAGGTGATTATATTAGTTTATCAGTTCTTATTTCAGCCTTCTCTCAAATGCTGCAATACTTGTCAGAAAAATTTGGTTTTTATTCCCCATATCGTGCACCTGCAGTGTAGGCCCGCAGTCATTAAAAACACATTTCAAGTCTAAATGGAAAATATAAGGCAATAAATGACTATGAGCATCTCGATCTTCTACGCTTTACCCTAGAGTAAATGGATGGAAAAATTTGAAATTTAAGGTGAGAAGCTTGCCAAAAAAATTCCTCCATTCTGCTTTTCCTTATTTCGCATGCGAATGGACATATTGCTGATTTATTCTTACAGTAATTACAAAAACATTGGACATGATAACCCATTTATTTGTTATAATTTGTCGTTTTGGTTCTGCATATAATCAGAAAACAGAATGAGCCTCACATGGCTCTCTAATGAATGGTCACTACCAAAACCCCAGCACCTACAGCCAGTCATTTACCAGTGCTAGTGTAGCTAGTTCTGGAGGTTCTGAGCTTTCACGTGAGGCATGACCTCTCCATATACACTTGTTGTGTGTCCCCTCTGTGTGGATTTAGACACTGGCAACCCAGGTTCAACTGTGATTGTAGTTCCCTTTTCTAAAACGGTGAGAGTGCAGGCTACAGTTCCTTTTTCAACGGCCGTGTCTAAATGTTCCTCATTAATAGAAGAGACTATGGTGGCTACCCAAAGCCTATTTTAGCCATCGTAGTCTAAAAACAAGCTTGAACAATAAGTGGGTAAAAGAAATGATGCTTTATCCTGGTAGTATTGTCATGGATACCCATATATTTAATTGGTATCTATGCTCTTTTTTTTTCTTAGAAGAGACAATAAGTGACATTTGTACAAAAATTGTATTGTACTACTTGTGCCGTCATAGTCTTGGTATTAACCTGTGGGTAACACTGGTTCAAACAAACATGCATGAACAAAAGTATAATATCATGATTAAAAAGGGTAGATGATAATCGTTTGTGGGACATTTTATATAATCGTGATAATCGCCAACTAAGATAATCACCATTTTATCACCAGGATCTTTTCTTCTAGATCGTTATTGTTTTCACTTATAACAAGACTACAAGACTAAAACAGCTGTTTAAATATGGAACCTATTCATGATATAATTCTTCATATCCATAACATTTTAAAACTGTCATCAACTTTTATAAATATCATGATATAATCATTAATCGTATTTATTTTGGCCATGATAATCATGACACCAGATGTCAAAATCATCTCATGCCTAAATGTAACTTAACACGACTCATGTTTTTAAATATGTAATTGAAAGCTGAACAAAGTACATTTTGTGAATTTAAAATTATTTCTTTGTCTTTTCAGGCCAAATCATGTATCTGCCACATGTGCGGTGCCCACCTCAACAGACTCCACTCCTGCCTGTACTGCGTCTTCTTTGCCTGCTTTGCCAAAAAACACATCCACGAACATGCCAAGAGCAAAAGGCATAACTTAGGTACGTAAAGCTGTAATGTAAATATTGTCTGTGTTCTATTTGTTGCAATTATAATGTACTACAATTAACACTTTCACTTTTCCTGCTACTAACGATATGGCTAAATATGCATCTAAATGGCTAATTGAGTTTACAAATGACAGTGTTGTTAAAATAATGGCGACGACAAAGTGTAATCCATTTAATCAAGTAAAATAATGAGGAGTGGCGGAGAGTGCGATTATGCAAGAGAGTGCAAGATAATTGCAACAGGCTCCAGCCCCAGGGGGGATCTGGATATCACCTGTATATCTGTCCTCATGGAACCCTGGCAAGTACATGATTAGACTGTATCGTATGAAGAATGACCCGTTGAGATGTAAAATCTATTTTGTGTTTATGAATTACTGTATTAATTTTCATAATGGTGTTTTGAATTGCCATGCTGCGATTTTGCTTGTGCAATACACCTCGCACTTGGCTTTTTTATGAGTGGGATTCATGAAAATAGGCTCTATTCTTGCTTATGTTACAAACCAGGAAGATGTTTGGAAAGATGCGATTACAACTTCCGGTGGTTACCGACACTGGGCTCGCCTAACGTGGATCTATTAAAACCGACTTAAACCCACTGAAGTAAATGTGATCAGTGGTAAAATGAAAACTGCATACGTTGCTGTTTGTAATCATCTTGAATTTGGCGCCCTCATCTCTTCTAATCGCATGTGGCGTTGTGTGTCAGTGGGGAAATGACGAAAACTGAGGTATTGTTGCAATTGTTGATTAACTGAACATAACAGAACCCTACAATGACATGGAGATGAAGAAACCTTGACCTGGGAAGTTGTAATCGCATCTTTACCAACGCCTTCCTGGTTTGTGACGTAAGCGTGAATAGACCTTTTTTACAACGTTTGAAAGTGATAGTTCCACAGATATTTTGCTATAGAAATGCCTTACTGTAAGTCACGTTTACCCTACATCGCGGCACTTTCGGCCATTGTGAAAAAGATCTATAGAGCCTATTGAATGAGCTGTATGCATAGAATGGTAGCCACGCCAGTCAGAGTTCCTCAAAGCTGCTATGTCTTCAAGCAGAGTTTCTAAGTTTCAAATTCAAAAGGAAGTAGACCATAGTAGGGATGCAAAAAATAGAATATCAGACTCTTGATAAGTCAACTACTAAAGGTCCTCTTTTGTATAATCAAAAACGTACTTGGAGTTGTTTTCTTTCATTGACACATGTTTAAGTAACCATTCATTATTAGTCGGTCTCATGAAGCAGTTGTTTTCAAATTACAGCTACATTTTACCTTTTGTTCAGTAGAGAAACACATGTCAAAACATATTTTTATAACTAAGGCAGCAGCACTATTAACTCAAATTCCAAAAAGGAACAATTTGGGATCAATAACACACACAAATATTCTCTATCTAGTCTGTCAGTGTTTCCCGCAGAGCTTTATAGTTAGGGTGGCTGCCTTGATTACGTCCCTCCGATCCACGTGAATCCTCGCAAAACTACGGTGGTCTCGCCCCAGTTCTCACTTTCGCCGGCTTGTTATCTCCATCACCTCACCGGTCACCGCATTGACTAACCAGTTTTCTGCAGGAAACACTGCTAGTCTTCAGTCACCGTATTTCTACCTTCAATATAACCACAGACTAGTCTCACACGGCTACTAAAGTAATCGTGACTTACAGCCCTAGACTACTGCAACTTTTTAATATCTTGAAATGCACAAGAAACCTTTATGTATGCTGCTGCTATGCTAGGTTGAGCCTCTAGATTTAGTGATTGATGTGTAAATGTATATATAAATCATTTTATATTTAGATATTTCTCACATTATTTACAGTCTTGACATATACTTCCTTGGCGTTGTCTTCTAAAACGGCAGTGATTAATGAACGTCTCACTGCCACAAATCTATGCAAAAAGAACACCATTACGTAATCATCCGTGCCCTGTATTGATGACATCCTCTGAGTCAATACATGGCACAACTGTTCATCTGTCTTTTTAAATATGTACATAGTGTGTGCGAAGGAGGGAAGTTGTGTGTCGGGCCCCAGAATAAATATTTGCATCAAACACGCACAATCTGCAGCATTGAGAAAGTGGTGGGTGTTTGCCGAACACTAAGAACAGTTGGCCGTAACCCATTAGTGTTACTCCCACAGGGACACACATGGCCTGTAGCTAGCAAAACGCGCTTCAAAAATTAATGCTGGGAAAGTTGGTGAAAATTACTAGACAAATCGGAGTACACTTGAGTTTAAAAGGAATGGGGAATTATGCGTGGAATGTTAATGTTTTCTATGTGCCCCATTACATCACTGTACAGTGGCTGAGGGACTAGCACTCACACTTTTCAGTATTCAGGTCATCTGTTGTGTTGTGGTGCTCATTGCACCTGGGAAGCCCCATTGGCACTGAAAGATGGCTCCAATCATCATTAATATGCTCAAACACAATGTCGTCATACTATTAATACTACTAGTAAGACTGTAGCCGACTATAAAATTCATGCTCGACAAAAGACATGCCTTGCCAATTGATTAGTCAACTAAAAAAAGGGTGTGGCAAAATCTCTCAAAACTTATGTATCTCTATTAGGGATGGGCATGATTAGTTGATTAATCAATAATTGATCATTAAGAATTTCATCGATTACGTAAATTTTAATCGACAAACCGAATGTAGATTGCTGTGCGTAGCGTGACCAAACAGGTCCGTACATGTAGCAAGCAGACACAAACAGTCGGTCAGTCTGCAACGTACCGAAGCGCAAATGCGTATTTAACAGTGTCTTGTACAAGAAATTCCACGCTTCGTTCCGGTCGGGACAAGTGTGAGTTCATGTGCACAGAGCAGCACACGTTTCGGTGTCCAGTGTGAAAAAGTTTTGCCAGGTGAGAGTTGCGCAATGTTGATGACGAGTCCCCACCTCCCACCCCCCGTACGGTGTCCTGGTTTTGACAAATGCAAATAAGGTCACACTAACCTGTATTCCACTGAGTCATGTCTTTTAATCTGACAGAATTTGAACCACATCAGCGACACAAGAGCTGTAGTTTTATCTTCGCTTATTTTATGCAAATTAGCGATGCGGTTTTAAGTTTCGTTCTGTGAGAGTTGCGCAAAACTGAACTAAACACATTATAATCTCAAACGGCTGATGTGGCTCTAGAGTGGTTACGGTTTATATGTCATAAAGTTGAATTTATTTATGCAGATTAGTAGTGCAAATAGTAATAATAATGATGATCATTTTATATAAAAACTTTAATGATTAATCGATAATCAGTCATTAATTCTTCCGACGATCGATTAAGAAAATTTCATCGAATGCCCATCCCTAATCTCTATGTATCTGACCCGTAGGCTTGATATAAATGGACATAGCTAACGCACTAGCCACCGGGTTTCAAAGAGGAAGTTTGCATGCAGGCGCTTCTGGCTCCTGACCCTGGTTTCCATGGACTTCCACTGGAATATTGTGGCCCTTCTCTGTGTAACTGCTGCTGAGATCCTCGCCATTTTGGTCTTAAATTGTTTGTATTCTGCAGTTTTGTTTGTACTCTGTTATTTTGTCTATTGTAAAAATTCCTACTCATTATACAGAACCTGGCTCCAAATTTGCCCCTGTAACTCTTAGCATCGCAAGATCCGTTGAGTGGAGCCGAACGCTGTGGATGATGTCACACTTGAGTAGTCCACTTTTTTATAGTTGATGATCTGACCCCAGCTGTACTCAAGACTACACCTGCCTGGGAGTTCATGCAAAAAATATCCATAAAAAGTACTAAGAAACTATGTATTTATATAAAGATAGATTAACAGTTGTGAATCATGGGTTTAATCTGCATTTTTACTTTTCACATACACCAAATCTTCAGCTAAACTCATTCGCAATGTGCTTTCTGTCATTGTACTATTTAAATCTCTTATAATCAAAATAAAATGATTAGTTAACAAGTACATATTTTGGTAGACTACAGCCCTAACTACTAGCGCATCACAAATAATGGCAGTAATTCACAACCCCCTACACAAGATTACCCAACAACAATTGCATTTGTCATATGAAAACACAAATACGTGGAGAGCTTGGAGCCTGGTTGGATGACTGTACCTTTCCTCTGCCTCTGCTAACACAAGCATTATCTGCAAATGCCAGCATCAGTCTGTTTGTCTTAAGCCACAATCCCACTCTATTTTTCTATTCTGCACATAATAGAATTTGAGCCTTGTGTGAAGTACTGTATCCATGACAAAGGCAGATGCGGAGATCCATGCCTCTTTATACTCTACGCCTAATCTACTGGCTCAGGAAAGACCCCCCTCTGATATTTGTGTGTATCCCGCCATGGGTAATTGTGGCTTTAATTAGGTTAGCTGCTGAATTAAAACAGCGCAAGAAGTAGGGTGAGAATCCAAACAGAAAAGGCGCTAAAAGGGAGGGAAAAATCGGGCCAGATCCCAACAGACCGGTGAGGAGGTAATTAAGTTGTCTTTATCAAACCCAGTGGAACTGGAATCCATTAAACACAGCACGGCCCCTTTTCTTGCTACTCCTCCTCCCTGCTCAAGCCTTTTCAGCATTTTCTGTTAGGAGGACTCATTATATGGTTATAATTGTTGATGTCAGTTTATACAATGTCCATAATCACAAACTATTTAAAGAGTATTAGTTTCCTGTTAAAGCCATAAACAAGAGTATAATAATAAAATAATAAATTATCAGATTTATATAACCTTTTCTTGTTTATATGGCGCTTGTTTTGGAGACTCAAAGATTACAGAGCATTATTCATTCACTCCACACTCTGTGGTGGTAAGATATTATAGTAGCCACAGCTGCCCTGGGACGGACAAGGCGAGACTGTCAATCTGCAACTCCAACCACCACCAATCATGCATGCACACTCCACTTGGCAATAGGCAATGTGAGTTAAGTGCCTTGCCTAAGAACACAGCAGTTTTTTCCACTGGCGCCCCACTGTGGCATCTGATG